CAAAAACTCACTAACTTTCTGCCCACACCAATCTCATTCTAATATGGGTTAGGTATCCAACTTGAATGAAGTTATTAAAACAACTATATTTGGGAAGTTTTTCAGTATGACTCAAAAAGTTGATATATTTTTTTTAAAAGTTTAGCTTCTTTTATCCGAAACATTCAACCTTGTTTAGCCTTCAGTTATCTATACTACTATATAAGAATTTTAATGTGTGTGTGTGTGTATATATATATATATATATATATAATTTTGCTTATTTGCTTACAAAAATTTTTATTTGCAACACAAATATTTATCTTTCAATACATACAAAAATATTTTTGCTAGATTTATTTACTGTGGTGATTAGTAAACACCGACATAAGAATGCACTGGATGAAAACTAGATGTCTCCCTTCTTCTCCCTTTGTAGGCCATATTAGTACTTAAATTTTCTCTCTGCAAAATTCTGTCCCACTCGATGTAGTCTTTTCCTCTTGGAAATATTGACAAACACCCATGCCTAAAAAAATTGTGTTTAGAATTCAACAGAAATCCTGTTTAAAATTCTCCTTAAGTGAATAATAAACCTCTCTCCAAACATAGCTCAAGAGCTATTGAAATGGCTCACTCCTTCACCTCCATAAATTTATCATCTATAGTAGAAAAATCTATCAGAATAAGCAACAATGTGTTTAAGTATTTACTTAACATAATCACTTCCCATATTTTTCCAAATTGATATATAGATGATAATGGGGAATAGAGTGTCACAGCCAGGAAGTCCCTTACAGTATGATCCAGTTACATTTTAGATATAAAAGAAGGTTTGAGTGCAAAACTGCACCTTCACTCTTTGCTCTGATTTAAATCAATATATTTATTTCATTTTTAAATCTCACATAGAACTAAATGTATATACCTTATGTATATCAAAAGCCAAGATAGGCACATTTTAAATAAGATTGAGATACCCTCTGTTAGATCATTATTGAAGATTTCAGAACCTCTGTTATATTTTCCCTAGGAAATAAGAAATCATTCATATCCATTAATCAAGTCACAAAAAATCTGAATGTGTTGTATATTAATTTCCTATTGCTGTTGTAATATTACAACTAATTTAATGGCTTAAAAAATACAAACTGATTATCTTAAAGTTCTTTTGGTTAGAAGTCCAAAATGAATCTCGTTAGAATAAAAATAAGTTGTAGATAGAACTGCAAAGAAACTTTGTTTCTTTATTTTCTCTAGACTGGAGGCCATCTATGTACCTTGTCTTAGGGCCCCTTCTTCCATCTTCAAAACCAGCAATATTGCATCTCTGTAACATTCTTCTGTAGCCACATCTCCCTGTAACTCTCTTCTGTCTCCTTCTTCCACTTTTAAGGATGCTTGTGATTATGTTGAGCCCACCCAGATGTTCCAGTATAGTCTCCCTATTTTAATGTCAGCAATCTTAATTCAAACTGAAATCTTAACTACTTTTGTCATATTCCTAGGTTCCTGAGATTAGAAAATCAAAATCTTTAGGGGTAGGTATTATCTGCCTCCAACATTTCATTTGTATTATTTTTCTTAGTTTACCTGGAAAACAACCAAAAAGTCATTGTCTAGAAACACCATTATGGTTTCAACTGAGAAGATACACACTTCTCTCTAAACCAGATCGGATAGACCTTAACTTGAAGGGCTTTTCCTCATGTTCTTCCTTCCCAAAAGCTGCCTAGATTTCAATTTTACATAAATTGTTGAAAGGGAATTTTAAAGGCATATCCTGAAAGAAGGCAGGGAAGTACAGATGGGTGTACTTAAATTTCTTGTGATAAAAAGGAGGAAGTTTAGAAGGAAAATTTCTGATATTGCTTATATCTTGTTGCAGGAATCTTATGGTTGATTTTTAATAAAATACTTGTATATTGAGGAAGACTTCAAAAAGAAGGAGCATCATCCTTTTGAATGTATTTTGTGGAAAGGTTTTAAAGAGTGACATCCTTCTTCATGTTATGTGAGTGTAAACATAATGTCTGTTCAGAGCAAAAATACAGCTAAAAGGTCTTAGGTTGTCAGAAACACACTACCTGATGTACAAGAGGTACTAATTACTTCTTTCTCTTTGGATAAATTATGTTGACAAAGGAGGATGGTGATGACTAGTTTCAGAACTGAAAAAAATATAATGAAATACATAGAATTTTAGGAATAAAAAATTATCAAAAACTTATTATATAGCCAATTATTGCTAGATGAGGGGTTTACAGATTTTTTTATCCCTTATAAGAATTCAAGGTCTCATTCCATCTTTTTTCATGAGTGAATGCTTATCAGAATCACCTGAGAAATATTTTAAATACCCCATTTTTCTCCCCACCATCCTAACTCTGTCAATACTAATAAATCCTCTGGTGATGGAGGAATAGAGTATGAGATATGGACATGCTTTCAAGGAGAAAAGCTTCAAAGTAATTATATTATCACAAATAGTTATGAATTATAGGTCTACTCATTTATACATAAATGTTTAATATAATGTAAAAGATGTTGGAAGAGAGCAAAAAAGAGGGGATTTCAACAAAACTGAATCTCCTTAGCCCTAAATAGAGTTTACCTGACTCTTGGAGGATATAATTTAGTGGCAGGAAAGCATTCAGTTTGTAGGAAATCAAGTTGGATAAAGGCATAGAAACAAAAACACAGTCCTGTATTCTTGGAACTCAAGTAGCTCTGTATTGTTATGGCATAAATTATGAATAAAGGGATAGGGAGTGTTTTGGTAAAAAGCCATGAGAGATTACATCAGATGGTTTTATACACTAAATTGTATAAAAATGTTAATCAAATAACAATAGAAATCACTGACAATTTTTATGTATGCAACTCATATTAGTTATTATATTGCTGTCACTCTAAAAACTCATTTTTAAAATACCGCACACTATCCCCATAATCCCAATCCTGGTAGTATCCAGAGTTTTTTTGGTGGACTGAGAACAAAAGTGTGAGATTTGATAGGAGTTTGAAAAGGATTTCAAGGAAATTTTTATGTCAAACATAGTTGAAAATCACTGATAGGCTCATAAAATATCTGAAGATTGTGATTTCAGCAAGACACATGCTGCTACTGAGATGCTGATCTTTGACTTGAAATGTTTATTCCATTTTTTTCTGTAAAGAATGTTTACCAGTTTGTAAAATTCAGTTCTATATTTTGATCATCCAAATCTCTACCTAAGTACCATTTAATCATAAAATTATCAGAATATAATTTGCATACTAATTAAGTGAAAGTGGCAATATTCAAGGCCAAAAGGAGTATTACTGGGTGGCTCTGATGAATAGAAAATAAAATACAGATAAGGGGACTGTGTCATTGTTTAATATTATACAAACTTTAACACAGACATTACCAATAACACTGTGAGCTTTTCTTATTGGGTGTTTTTTACATTCATGGGTATCGTTGTATCATTTGTTGCATTCCCTATATAAAGCACTTTTGAGCCTTCCCTGTAGTGTAGGTCTAGTGATGACAAATTCCATTACTGTTTGCTTGTTTGGGAAAGATTTTATTTATCCTTCATTTGTGAAACTTAGTTTTGCATGATACTGAATACTTGGCTGTCAAGTATTTTGTTTAAGATGACTGAAAATGGGACACCGGTCCCTTGTGGCTTGTAGTGTCTCTGCTGAGAAGTCTGATGTTTTTCAATGGGTTTTCCTTTGTAGGTTTGTTTTGTTTTTGTCTCACAGCTTGTAGAATTTTCTCCTTCATTTTGACTTTAGCCAGACTATTGACTAAGTATCTTGGTGATGTCCTTCTTGCTATGAATCTTCTGGGTATTCAATGATCATCTTGTGTCTATATATCTAAATATCTGGTGCTAACAGGGAAATTTTCCTCAATTATTCCCTCAAATAGGTTTTCCATGGTTTTTGCTTTGTCTTCTTCTCCCTCAGAGATATCTATGATTCTTATATTAGCTCATTTTTTTTACAGTCCTGGGTTTCTCTGAGTGATTGTTCATTCTTCTTTATTCTTTTTCTGCATTTTTAACTGACTGAGTTGATGCAAAAGCCTTCGTTTTAAGCTCCGAAGTTCTTTCTTCGGGTAGATCTAGTCTTTTGTTAAAGCTTTTTTCTGTTTTGAAATTCCCTAAATAACTCTATCATTTCTTTAAGTTCTGTTATATCTTTTCTTATGTTTTTTTATTTCTTTAGAGAATTTTTCATTCATGTCCTGAATTATTATTTTTTGTTTCTTTGTGCTGGTTTTCAACTTTTTCATCAATTCCATTCAACTTATTTGCCATCCACAGTTTGCATTCCATATCTGGCATTTTTACAATTTCCTTTGGGGCCATGACTAGACAAATTAATAAAGCAAAACAAAACAAAACAAAACAAATGGTTGTTGTTGTTTATTTTTTTTCCCCCGAGTTCTTATGCTGGTTTCTTCTCATTTTAAATGTCTTCTCTCAGCTCAAGATAGATAAGTTTTGGTGCACCCGATCTCCTCTGTTGGAGGCTCTCCTACTTAGTGAAAAGAAACAGAGGTGCCTGGATGGGACACTTGTGTCCAACTGTGGAGGATTGACTCAGCAGGACAGGGGCAGAATCACTGAGAGCCTGTAACATAGCTGTTCTCCTGCATCATCCCATTGTCAAGTCCAAGCCAATTTTGGGGGGCATTCATGGAGAAGTGTGGATTTGTCTGCAGGCTGCTGTTGGAGGCTCAGGCAGGGAGGTAGGCAAGTCCCTATCTACAGAGGTGGGTGGAGTGGGGCCTCAATCCAGACCTCCCTGTAGCGGTGGCAGTGGCAGCTGGTTGAGACTATCTAGGTGATGGCCCCAGGTGTCAGGACTGTGGGAATTCACTCTACTCAGGTCCAGGTGCAATGGCAGTATGTGGCAAGGACAACTCCCACCCAGCAAGCAGGTCTGTGCAGGTGTTGTTCAGAGCATGAGGCTACAGTTGCTGGCAGTTAGTGGAACTTTGGCCAGGGGCTGGGCAGATTGCAGGACCTTGGCTGGCAGCTGAGTAGGTCACAGGACATTGGTTGACACCTGGGCAGATTGTGTGACGTTGGCTGGCTCTGAGGTGGGTCATGGGAGGTTGACCAGAGCGTGGCTGCATTGTCAGGCTGCAGCAGTTAGGCAGCCCATGGCTGGCAAGGATGGAGAGACATGCAACTTGTTGCTGGTGAATTGTGGTGGCTGAGGCTCTCCCTCTGTCCAGGTCTGACTGTAGTATCAGCTGTGGTGCTACACAGGTGGCAGTAGTGGCACTATTGAAGATGGCTAGTATTAATATGGCGAGATGGCAGCAGCATGGCAGAGGCTGATGCTGAGGGATGGTGGGCTCTTGCTCTGCTTGTATCCCTTGGTTGTGGATTCTGATCTTGCCAAGCATATAAGCCTCTCTCTCCTTCATTTTTGATATCTCCAATGGCTTCTCTGATGATTCAAAATGCTTTCTCCAAGACAGTCTATCTGTAGATGAACTTCTGCCTGCCATTTTCCATCCTTGAGCTTGGTGAGTGAAACTTGCTTATAGTTTGCCGTCTTTTAGTCCCCCCCAAATCCATATCTTTTATGTAAAATAACTAACAGTTCTTTGGAGCATAAAAAATAATACGGATATTTTAGGATAGGACAGGGTAGTATAGGATAATATGGAATAGGATATTTTAATGCTTTTGGAGAATAAAATATAAAGGAGAAAGTTCTGGAGGTAGAAATCGGCTAGAGATCTATTTTAATAATCTAGTCCAGAGAGGTTTTATCTCAGACCAGAATATAAGGGTAGGAGTCATAAGATCTGGGTTAATTCTGGTTCTATATCTTGAAGTCATAGCTTACAGAATTTGCTGATATTTAGACGCAGTGTTGGGAGAAAGAGATATATTAGGTTGAATCCAAGGCATTCAATCTGAACAACCAGAAAGATAAAATTATAACTATTAATATTAAGATGGAGAAGATTATAAGGAAAGTAGAGATGTGTGTGTGTTCATGTGTATGAGTCTGCATGTATGTCTATCCAAAGTCCAGTTTAGTTCATGCCAAGTTGGAAATTTTTTATACATCCAAGAAGAAATATCAAGTCAGTGTTGGATATTACAGTTTGAATTCCAAGGGAAAGAACAAGGCAAGAGATAGACATTTGGGAATTATCAGCATATGGGACTGGTATTGGTTTCCTGCCTATTTTTTTTATCATCTATGTGATGGATGAGATCAACTAAATTAAAGGGAGAAATGAGGTCAGAACATTAAGCTCCTGGGACATTCTGACATTGAGACTGGGGAAGGAGGAGAAGACATCAAAGGAAACTGAAAAAGATTTACCACTGAGGAAAGAGGAGAATAGAAGCTGTAGTTTCCCCCAAGGCAAAGAGGGGAAAAGTGTTTCAAGAAATTATTTAACAAGAAGTTGCCGATACTCATATAAAATGGAGAATGAGAATTGAACATTGTCTTTAACAGCATGGAGGTCACTGACAACCCTGTCAAGAGCTGTTCCAGCAGCATGGTGGGTTCCAGGAAGTATGAGAGGAGAAAAACATTGTCATCAAATATGACTTGCGCATTTTGCACTAATAAGTAGCAGAGAAATAGGAAGAAATGAAAGGCTATGTGGAGTGAAGAAGAACTACTTTTTAAAGATGAGAACTGTGACATCATAGAACCGATCTAGTGTCCAGTGGAAAACTACTGATGTGGGATATAGAAAGAAAGCTTCCATAAGTAAGATTCGTGAGTAAAAAAGTGATAATGGGATCCAGTGAACATGGGGAGAGATTGGCTTTGATCAGGACTGCTAAATGGCACTCACAGGCATCAAGGCAGGGGTTAAGTGCAGGTGAGTTCAGAGGCATTTGGGAAGCATATAGATTTTATTTTGTAATTGCTCCACTTTTCAGTAAAATACCAATCTTGGTCGTTGCTTGAGGATGGTAGGGAGGAAAAAGTGCCAGAGATTTGAGGAAAGGTTAAGATGTGAATTAGTAAGCTTGAAAGTAAATAGATGAAGAAAATGTGATAATAATAAATAAAAGAAATCTCAAAATAGAAATGAATTCAGAGTCCAAATTAGGGGCTATATCCTTCTTTAATTGTTTCTTTTAGTTTCTAGTTTAACACGTGCCTTTCTAGTAAAAGTATTTTGTTTGCTTACTCAAGAGTAAAAGAGAACACACATATGTACTAAGTGAATACAGGATAGTTTCCTGTCATAAAAGCATAAACAGAAAAATATAAACATGGGACTTCAGGAAAATTTAGAAAAGAATGACAACAAAAAATGGATTTCAGGCTGTGGTGAGGAAACAAGAAGGAATACAGATTAAGAAACTAGAGATGAAAAAAAATGCAGAAGTAAACAATAGAGAATGTGTCTCACACTATCTTTAAAGTTTCATATGAAGCATAAAAAAAACTAAATAAGTCACACAAAAACAGAGGAAGCAAATCAAAAGTAAGTGGTTGGCTGAGCATGGTGGCTCACGCCTGTAATTCAAGCACTCTGGGAGGCAGAGGCGGGCAGATAGTTCGAGCTCAGGAGTTCAAGACCAGTCTGAATAAGGGCGAGAGCCTGTCTCTAGTAAAAAAAAAAAAAAAAAAAAATAGAAAGAAATTAGCTGGACAACTAAAAATATATAGAAAAAATTAGCCGGGTATGGTGGTGCATGTCTGTAGTCCCAGCTACTTGGGAGACTGAGGCAGAAGGATTGCTTGAGCCCAGGAATTTGAGGTTGTTGTGAGCTAGGCTGATGCCATGGCACTGCAGCCCAGGCAAAAGAGTGAGACTCTGTCTCAAAAGAAAAAAAAAAGTAAGTGATTGTGCCAAAATAATTTTAAGAAGAGAAATTTAAAAATGTAGGCTACAAGGAAAATACAAATAATTATAGAGTATAAAATACTAGTGTATATGAAGACAGTGGTCTATGGTGGAGAAGGTGTAGGATTTTTTAAAACACCTGTATATTAGGGAAAAATATATATCTACATGTTTCTACATAATAAATAACTGAGGGATTAAGATTATCATTATGCATTTAATATAAGTTCCTTTATCCATGTGCAATAACAAAGGATGAATGTACACACATATATATGAGACAAATACACATATGTGTGTATATATATATCTATATATAACACATACATGCATTTATACATATAGGCATTTAAGTATTTAAGCTGTGGTGATGTTTCAATGGTAGTGTTGGAAGAAAATTTCAATTGTAACAATTTTCCATTTTCCCTGTCTACACATATTTGTCTCTGTTCAACTGTAGTTACTTGATTTCTGCCTATTTTGATAGTTAAAAGTGGTTTATTTTCATCTGCACCTTGAAAGCATATAGATGTTTTTTTCTCAATCAATCAAAATGAAGTACATTTAAGATACTTAATATCAAACTCAATCTTTAATTGTTTGATATACTGCTTCTACAGAAGAACAGCTGTGGGAATTGATATTAGATAAGGATATTCTGAGGGAAATGTGAACCTAAGAACATATTCAAGACTCCTCCAGGTTTATACTTGTGCTAGTATTGTATTTTTATCTTGTACTAGTATTTATATTTTTATATTAATATAAAATTATACACCTGTTCCATAACACACAGGCTCCAACAGGATTGCCTTTATAAACTACGAATTAATACTTGCCCCTTAACTCTTCATAGGTTTTTTTCTGTAAACACTCATGGTTGGGCCATCTGTAGTTTTAAATGTAGTCTAATGTTGTAGTCAAGAATATCTCATTACACTGTTAAACATTTGAGGAGTGTCTCTCCCCAGCAATAGTAGAAGGGATATTTCTAGGCCTAGGTTAGAAGGTCAGTTAGTAGGAAGACAGTCTAAAAATACCATACCCAGGGGAAAGCAAGTTATAAAGCAAAGAATGAACAGAGTTCAGGAGCTAGCAATTTAGGTCAACAGAAATGCCAAACCTGGAAGATCTGTAGCAGAACTTAGTCTGCCTGATAAATGGAGAGGGCAACCCAGAGCAAAGATGATGGATTGATGTGCTCGTGAGAAACAGGCATGGCTCTGGATGAAAGTCATGCACACTGTTCCTTCTTCTGTCCCTTGACCTTGAAACCAGCCTGGTTTACCCAAACTCATGAGAGAGGTGAGATACAGATTCTCTATGGATTTTTCATGGAAACGTTTTGAACATGGCCTTATCTTATTCTGATCTCCATGCTAGGTTGATATGAAAATTTGGGACATAATAATATTTTATATCTTTTAATGCTTTTAAGTATTGATGTATTGAACTAACCTGATAGTCTCGTGGTTTTCGGCCTACAATATTCATTCCTGTTTGTATGTAGTTTCTAATGTTATAGACCCAGTGAGATCTTAGGCATCTGTGCCTAACACAACAGTAATGGAAGGTTGATACACACACACACACACACACACACACACACACAGAGAGAGAGAGAGAGAGAGAGCTAGAAATAGAGCTAGAGAGGATGATAGAGGTGAGATAGAGATTAGAGATAGAGATAGATATCTGACCCTATTGTTCCAGATGTCCCTCTTTTATTATGTTGGCAAGAAGTACAAAGTCCTCATTATTCTGCAGACCATGAACCTTAGAAATATAAAACAGCAAAAGATAAGCAGAATTGAGAGTAGTGAACTACTTCTCTGTCCAAAGCATCAGAAACAAGTTTATAATTGCTAACCTTGAAATCTCGGGTGTATCACCTAAATTTGCTTCAGCATTAAGTAGCTTTGTCCTCACTTTCCCTTATATAAGGAGAAAATCAGGGCACATTCATTAAACCCTGCAAAATGTATCTTCTTTCTTTACTTATGTACACATCATTAGTGATTTCCTACCTAAGGAAAAATTAAAAGGGTCATGCTTTAAGTACTCCGACAGTCAGAGATTGTTGTACATTACAATCACGTGGCTTCCTACAAGGTTAATATTCATTAATTATTGTTGAAAGTCCCTTTTAATATGGTTATCTAATATATCCCAGAATTCTGTAAGCTACCTCAGTGGTTGGGCTTGGATGATCCTTCATTCTGAGTGCAGTAGAAGTACAGTTTCATGAGGTTAGTTTT